GTTGGAGAGGGGCCCCCCGTCCTTCTTCCAGATGATGTGCAGCTTGATCAGCGGCCTGGGGGGGGCCAGGAGCACGTCGAGAGCCAGCCCCAGCCCCCCTGGACCCCGCCAAATCCCCACCTCCCTCCATCCCACAGGACCCAGGAGCGCTGGTGGGAAGGGACACGGGGGGAACCGGGGGCACCCAGCCCTGGGGCTGAGCAATGCCAAGGGGGAGATGCCCCATCCCCATCCCGTCCGCCCCGCCGCTACTCACCTGGCATTGGCCACGCACTCCATGGTCACCTCTGAGGTCCCGGCCACCACGCTGGTGTTCCTGGGTGGGACAATGATGGTGGGTGCGATGGGATCAGCCGGGCCACCCACGTCTGGGGAGAAGGAAGCCAGAGGGACAGCCATCAGCAACCCCTGCCCCCTGCTCACCCCCACGGTGCCCCAGCCCCCAGTGAGGCTGATGGGGCACCCAAAGCCCCGTGCCCACTCTGGCTGGTATGGAGAAGACAAAGGTGGCAAGGACCAAAGGGCCACGGGCTCTGCTCTCCCATGGGGAGGGCGGGCAGGTCCAGCCCATCACCTTGGCATCAGGGTGCCTTCACAGCTCTCTCTAAGCCCTCTCCTCCCACGGGAGCCTACGGCACCCCACGGCACCAGCCCGGCCCCCAGCCTACATGGCAGCACCGGCTGGCAGGGAGGAGGGAGAAGGGGAGTATATAAAGCAAAATGATTGCAACAATAAAAAACCCTCGTGTAGGCGCTGTAAAAATGTGATCGGCTTGAAAGCTGCTGATATAGCTGAATCCATAAACATGGGCTCCAGGTTGTTTATTACGCACTGGGATGCCGAGGTACAGAAAAACAGATTAATGGGGCAGGAGGGGAAGGGGGACAGGCAGAGCCCTCTGCGGAAAGGGATAAACCCCTCCATGGAGCAGCACGAGGGGAGATGGGATGAGAGTACCGGGAGGACTGATGCCACTTTGGGCCATCTTCCCTGGGACGGGCTGTCACCACCTGAACGGGGGCCGGGGGACCCTCGGCCAGGTCCGACAGGGTCCAAGGGGACCGGAGGGACGGGGCCACAGGGGTCTCCCCCAGGCAGGGCCTGATCTGGAGCAGCGTGGGCTGAGAGGAGAACATGGGCAGGAGCGGGGCAGGGCGTCTGGCAGCAAAGCTGCTCCCACTGGGGCTACACTGCACCATCCCATCCCGCAGCCCAGTCCTGGGACATGGCCGTATCCAGCCCCCGCGGCAGGGGCGGAGGGGGAGGCTCTGCCCGTGATACAATTAGCGCCTGCAGCACAGCCCGAAGTGCCTAAATAAATTTTGAGGCGGCTGAACTGTTAAGTCAGCAGAAGCCGGAGCCTCCGAAGAGATTTACTGCAAATTAAACTTGGGGGCGAGCCAGGCGGTGCAGGGGGAGCGGGGCTGGGGGGGGCGATGCCCCCTGCACTCACTGGCCACGGTCAGCGTGATGGGCTGGCTCGTCTTGTTGTCCCCGTTCTTGTCGTTCACTGCCTGCACGTAGTAACGTCCCGCATCCGGGGCCACCGTGGAGAGGATGACGAGGGTGTTTTCCAGCGTGATGGCTCTGTGGGGACGAGCGGGTGGCGTGAGATGGGGATGCGAACCCAATGGGGACACTGATGCAGTGAGCTGGGACCCTCGTTCCCCCACCCAGCACCCGCACCGGCCCTGGGGCACCCACATAGGACGGGCACGACCCCCAGCCTTCCTCCCGCCTGCCCCAGGCACTGGCACCCAGACAGGGGCTCGGCTCAGCCACTGACCCCAGGCAAAAGCTGGGACCATGCCGGGACTGAGCTCCACACCCCCCTGCACCGAGCAGAGCACATCGGATGGTGCAGATTAATAGACTTTTTTTTTTTTTTTTTTATGGAACTATCTAATCTGCTGGAAGCATAAAATGGTTTGCGGAATATATTTTTACCATTAAATATGAGATAAAGGAGTTTTATCTCCTCTATCCTGCTTTGCAAATAGAAAGGAGACCAGTTCAATTCCTGCATAATGTGGGTTACAAATTCAATTCCAGCATGCTGCGTCTGCCGGTGCCAGGCTCGCCGCTCCCAGGCTCGCCGCTCCAGCAGCACCGGGGCCTGCCGCAGCCCCACAGGGACTCTTGTCCCCAGCACGTGCTGCGCCCCTTTTGCCTGCCTTCCTCCCTCTTATTTTCATTTTTTAAAAAATTCGTTTCCCCAGTGACAAACGGAGCCATTAGTCACCAAGCCTGTCTCCGGGTTTTAGCACAATGCGCTCAAGACGTCTGTTAAACATCCTTACTGCAAGGACAACGGCAGCCGAGGGAAACGCAGCCCCTCCGGACGCTGGGGGAATGCCGGGGGTACTCACATGCGGCTGCTGGGGGAGATCTTCCGGCCATCGCGAAACCAGGTGACCTGGGGCTGGGGGAAGCTGGCGATGTGGGGCGCACGGATGACGGCCGCCTCCCCGTGGGACACGCTCTGCTGCGTCTCGCTGTCCTCGAAGCTCCCCATGTCTGCAAAATGTGCGGGACAACCAGTCAGGGGCTGGGGAGGGGCTGGCAACATGCCCCAGGACCCAGCAGGGGCCGGGCCAGGG